ACCCGCCGCCATTTCTGCCGTTCGGACGCTGCGTGCCTGGCGCCGCGGGAGCGCGGGAGCAGCCCTGCGTGCCTGCCCGTGACTGCAGCTGGGCATGTCGCAGATAAATCGCACGTGCAAACAGCACTGCGTATTTTTACAGAGTTGGGCTCAATTTCTTTGCAGAAGCGTTGTTCTGGTTTTACAGATGAGGAACCGAGGAGCATAGAGGCTGCGATCGTGTGGAGTCCATATGTTCCAAATTGGACCAAAAGCCTAATCCCTGAATCCCCGTCCCACGCAGTATCTGCAAAACAAACCTTCCTGAAAGGCCCAGGTCAGGGACCAGGGAATACGGATTCCCGAATGTAACTGTGACTCTGCAAACATACTGTGGCTTTACAGCCTTAAACCAGTTCTCAGCTGTCGTCTTCTCCCTTCAAGGTTTCTTTTTAAAATGTGACTTAGGGTACTAATAGCAGCATGTTAACGTAAGGATCTGGACCCTCCATGAACGGTCTCTAATCAGGCAAAAGAACCGCTGCGTTATGCAAACACATCTCTTACTAGATGTTTAATAGGATGAAAGGGGGAAAAGAGAGGGAAAAAAATATTTACGGCTTTCTATACTATTATATATTCTTATATATAAAGCGCTTATCACCATCTTGATAAACATTGTTTGGCACCACTCTGACGGCAGAGGTAAGAACAGGAGTCAGCCTGTTAGTACCTCAGCATTTCTGCGGTGGGGTTTCATGGGTTTTGATCAGCTGAGATTCATGCCTAGAACCAGCCTCTGACTTGAGCATAGGTGCGACAGGATCTTGCAAGGCCAGCAGGAGAGGACTGGGAGGCTACTTAACCCAAAGATCCGATTGCCCTTAATGTAACAATCTTCTTGTCACTGACGTATTTTGCACGCATAGCTTTCAAACCAAATGTTAAAAAAAAGGTTTGTGACACAGCATGTTATTCATGGGAAGGCTGTAATGTAGTATCTTGGTTATCAGGCTTCTGGTTACAGAAAATAATCCAGGGATGTGTTTAAGCTCTGCGGTATCCTCAGTAAAAATAAAGGCTTGTAAAGGCTTTGTCTTAATTTCAGCAACCTGCAAAGTGCCACATCATTAAGGTAGGCTCTCATTTGAGTTGACCTTTCTCCAACAGAAGTTTCCCACCACCCCTTCTTAGGGAATATGGTGTCTGAAGCATGTGGATTTTTCAGGGAATTGGTCTTGAGCTTTCAACATCTGCAAAGCGATTCTGTTAACTTGAGTAGTGAACCCATAACACTGCTAGCTGAAAGAACAGAAGAGATCCTGAATGTAGCCATTGAGGCATGTTCTGTTTCCATTCATCTGCATCTTGTTTCCAAACAAACACTGTATTTTCACTAGCCTGGGCTTGTTTTTAACTTTGCCACTCCATCTTGTCAAACGTTACGATTCATTTCAGATTGGTTTGGCAAATACGGAACATTCCTGTCCTTGAGGGATGACACGTTTACTTACTGCAGTATCGTTCTGTAGGTTAGATACATCCCCCAGCGTAATTGGGATTGCTAAAACCTCGCAGGGCACGTCTCTGCTAAGCTGGTAGGGCTTGTTTGTGTGCTGCTAGCAAAAAGCAACGCGTGTAGAGAAAGTTCTCTGGCGAATGATGAGACAGAAGTCTCCTGAGCAACAGGACAGCAGGGAAAGATCTTGAAACTTGGAGGCGGCAATGAGTTTTTATCAATATACAAGTTCTATTTGCCCTCTAAGGAGAAAATGAGGAAGAGGGGCTAAATTTTACTTCTGCTGTTGCAAATGAGCAGAGCGAATTTTGCTGTCTCCTTGGTAAGAGAAGGAACTGCAGAGAAGTGATCATGCGAAAGGGCTGCCGACCACTAATGGGCAAGGCACTCTGGGGGTGTGCAGGGATGCTCGCTACCTCTGTGGTTCTGACTTGGCCTCTGTATTGCTGCTGAGAGGTACCCAAGCTGCTCTGGGAGGGGGTCACTTTATTTGGTTTCACTAAGCAAGGGTGTTGTACCCCTACTCTCCCCCAAAAGAAAAGTTGGCGTGTACCAGAGAAATATAGTCTTCTCTGACTATGCAGTTATACCCTAGTTTTGTACCAATAGTTACATTGTCAAGACGAGACCATCAGTGCCTTCCCATGGTACGTGTTTCATCTCTTTGCAGGTGTTCCCAGAGGCCCTGATTTTTAATCATGGCTGGAAGGACTTTTAGTTTTAAAAGCAAAAGGAAATAGTGGATCGCCTAGTTTGAGCTGGATATTGTAGGCTGTTTAACTCCATCCAGTTACCTGTCCTGACCATAATGTCTTGCATTTCAGTAATGCATAATGTGCTTTTTATAAGTGCAGTATGGGGTTGGGGGATTCTTTGTTTTCTTCAAAAAAACACGTGATCTTGCCTTGTAATCACCCAGTGGTATGGCGGTCTCTCCTTTTTTTCTGTATGATTGTTGTAGACCTTGAATTTGCAGAGGGACGAGATATTTTAGTGTACAGCTGAGTAGTTACTTCGGGGTGCCTTTTACCATCTCTGTTTGTCATTTATGAACTTGAACACATGGTGTAATGCAGCCACTAGAGCTGAGGAAAGTGGGAGCGCTGCCAGGCACAACAGCCTGGAAATGCCCAGAAAATTAATTTGGATGTGCTTTCAGTGGTGTAAATTATAAAGAAAAAGTCGTGCACATCACGATGAGTTGTAAGCATTGAGGAATACCTTTGCAATGTGTGGTTTACACTTCCTTCACCTTAGTGCAGCTATGGTTAGTATTGTAAGCTAAGTTAGAGGTTATTCCAGGCAGCAGTTTGCTGGGGGAAGAAGGCGTTCAGGTTATTCCTGCTTGGTACCACTGGAGTCCCGAGTTCTCTACTTACTGATGGGGGGACCAAAAGGGAAGGTACTCACCGTCAGGCAAGCATGGCCTGCATTACATTTGCAACTAAGGAACAATGAGAACATTAATGAAGACCCTTTTTGTTCCCACAGGTGGTTTACTCACTTTTATGTGGTTTCTGTGCTCTGGAACGGCTTTCTGCTGATCTGGCTTTTCCAAGCTGAGTTCCTGGGAGGGTCACTGCCATCATGGATTCAGCACATGCACCGTGCTTTTGGCAGAGATTCTCAGAGCGAGGACACGGGCAAGTATTCCAGCTATTATGATGCAGCTGTATAAATATTAGAAAGCAGCACTACCATCCTGTGCTGAATTTGTATTCTTCAAGTGCTACTTCACCATCTGCTTTTAAACTAGGCTCCAAGTGACTTTCCTGGAATACCAAGTCCCTTTGTCTTTATTCAGGGTAGAAATCACTCTTAAGTTACGGATATGATGGGTTTCGGCAGTCCTTTTAGCAGAAGGGGCTGTTTACCACCTTCTAGAAGTAATTTGCTGTGGTCAGCAGTGTCTCACATGCACAAATATTTTCCCCAGTGCTCGGTTAATTTAAAAAAAAGGGTAAAATTTTGCTGTGGGAAGGGGGGAAAATAGCCTTTTTGAAGCATTGTTGGGGTTAAATTGTTCCTATCTGTCTCAAAGTTGCTATTTTTTATTTGCAAGCAGATAGTGAGCACTTCTCTGCGCTCCTGGTTCTCCTGCTGCTTTGGCTGCATAGCTGTCGAAGACTTGCAGAATGCCTCTGGACCAGCGTGTTTTCCAATGGCGTCATTCATATCGTGCAGTATTGCTTTGGACTTGGTTACTACATTGCCGTTGGCTCAACGGTGCTATGTCAAGTGCCTACTAACGTCAGGAATGGTAAGCGCCTGCTTACTTATTACCAAAGATGCAGTTTTGCTCCCATTTGTTTCCATTGCAGCAAATGGTTTTGTAGAGGGCTGCTTGCGTAAGAGGCGTGTTAACTGATGAGGCGTAAAAATACTTACTGGCATAGTTCAAAGTAAGAACATTTCAGTATATCACATAATCAACCAGCGTTATAAACACAGACACTGACACATAACTGTTAACCATCACTGTCATTTCCTGAAAGATATCTCGCGTAGGTACTTCCAGGATCATTACCGACCAGTTTTGCACTGGGATGCATATGCTTTATGAAGGACAGTAACACGTGCCGGTTCTCAAACGCCACTACGCAACTTCAGTTCTCAAGCTGGAGTTTGGCTTTTTGTTGTAAGCTTTCCTGTAAGGTGAGTCCGCAAGGCTGTTTTGGCCACCTCCTTTGTTCTCCCAAGAGAGAGAACGCACCACTGCTCTGCCTTCCATCAGTCAGTCTCTTCTTTCCCTCGGTACTGTCACGTCTCCATTAATACAGCAGAAATTTGAACACTATGACTTGTTTCTGCTGACACATTCCACTGAGTCTCACAACTGAGCTGCTCTCTCCCTGCACAGATGAACCATGAGCTGGTTGTTGCATTTCTCCCATGACTAATTTTTGTAAGGTGGTCATTACCAAGTCTGTAACTTTAGTGAAGTTTTTAACCACTTCCAACCATGTCAGCTCTAGTTTACTCCAGTGATGTTTTTTTTTTCTAAAGAACCTTCAGATCTCCTATGTGTAGAAAAAGCCTTTTTTTTTTTCTGGACCTGTCTTCTACTTTTCACATCTTGTAGATTCTTAGAGATGTTGTATTGGCTTGTACATTGGAAATCATCCTCAATATGGTTAACATTTTTTGAAGGTTTGAGTGGTTCACACTGTGCGTGTGTGTATGCGTGTAGGGGGGTGTGTGTATCCCACTCACTGTGAACAAGACAAACAACTGTGTACTTACATGTTGACCTGAGCCATGACAACATCTTTAATTAGGACGATAAGAAGTACAAACAGCGTTGAATATTCAGGTCTTAGACTATCAGTTACATATCAGCTGTACATCGTGCTGTACTCCAAGCTACTGGGTTAAAAACTAGATATTTTTAGTACAGAGCGGCTAAGGGAAATGAACTACCAGCTGAGGATTTAAATGATGCAGGATTTAAAAGCATCTTTCAAGGGATTAGAGGCTCACTACTAGAATTTTGTAAGACAGTAACATCTAAAAAATGTATACAATGTTTTGGGATGATGCTTGGGAAGGTATTTCCCGGCCGTCTATTGATGAAACATATTTCATTCAGGAAGAGCGCTTTCTGTGCAGATCTGCTGGTATCACATTGTAGGAGTTACGATGTACATTTGGGCCTCTCTTCACCAACACAGCTGTCTTGTGATTCTAGCTAATCTTAGAAAAAGTAAATCAGGTAAGATGTTTCATTTCTGCCAACCATTTACTTAGGTAATTTTTTCCTGGTTGTCTTGATAGGCTTCTGTAGCTTCTAATACAAGTATTTTTCAGTTCCTGTAGTGCGATGCTGTCTGTAAGACTTTCAGTAGATGAAATGAGGCTGTTTGGAAAAGAGATCAAATGGCTGAATAGAGGTGGGGTGTGTCTATGCCTGTATATATAGTTTTACAGAACTTAAAATGAAGGATTCTTCTAGTATCCTAAGGACAGACGCCTGCTTAGGAATTGTGCCACTCCTCGGGGACCTCGTTTGTGTCTCCATGTGGGCTAAAAATAGGTTTCCTTACTCCGTATTTGTGCAAACAGCCAGAGGTGGCATTTTATTTCATTAAGAGGTGCAAAGCTGCCAGATCAGATGGAGGTGGATGATGACGATGATAACTTTAATGAGCACGTTGTTCTACAATTGTGAGTGGAAGAGAAAAGTTTGTTTAATGCATGTTGTTCCAAACTGATTTCTTTCTCTTTGCTTGCAGGAAAGGTCGTAAGTCTGAGCCACAACATACCTTTTGGAGACTGGTTTGAGAGAGTTTCTTGCCCTCATTATTTTGCAGAGCTCCTCATATATGTATCTATGGCCATCACACTTGGATTTCACAATGTGACGTGGTGGTGTGTAGTGATGTATGTTCTTTTCAACCAGGCACTGGCTGCTGTTTTGTGTCACGAGTTCTACCAGAACAGCTTTAGTTCCTACCCAAGGCATCGAAAGGCATTTATACCATTCGTTTTTTAGAATATTTCTTCTAAAGTATCTTTAGTGCAAACTGGGAAATGTTTTCGATAAGGGAATAAGAGATTTACAGTTTATTGAAGCCAGGGTAAAAATCGCACATTTCCTCTAATTCTAGCTTAAAAGCTCATAATTTTAATGATAATCTCATCCGTGTTACCAGTGTCTGTGGGGAATCGTAATTTAAGGTATCTGCATATCATACAAGCTAAAAAAAGGTTTACTGAAGACCTTAATTCAAACTGAAGAGAAGCTAATTGGCTCTTTTTCTGGTTTACAGTTGTATCTTACACATAAAGCACTCACTGTTGTGCAGCAAGCCCAAATACATATACATGAAAACTGTGTAGTGAAAGGAGGGTGCAGGGAATCATTTGAGCTACTGTGTTTCACCCCTCGTCTAAAATTTAAGCGTATTTTTTTCCTAGTCTCTTTTCTTTGGATCACTTCAGAGGGAGGCAAATTGCATATTGTCTTTCTGTGCTTCCCTGTTGATAATTAAAACCAGCCACTGCTTTATAACGGCAAGCACAAAAACCGGTGGAGAAAGCTGCGGTGGAGGAATGACTCATGCTCAGCAGTGGCGGTAAACAGACCCGTGCTCTGCATTATCTCTTCTGCACCAAAGCATTTTCAGGCATTGGTGAAAACTCCTTGCTTATCCCTAAATTGGGAAAATCATGGAAGGTTCTCTGCCTAGAGAGACGGTAGAAGAGGAATTTGCAGAAAATTAATGTTCTTGGTTATGGTTCTGTCATCCTTACAGGGGGTTATTTGGAACCCCTCGCGTGTTAGAGGGGGCACTTGTAGGGGATGACCTAACCATGACTACATCGGTTTTTAAACCACCTGTGAGAGCAGATGTCATGAACTGCTGAGGCAGAGAACACACAGAAACCCTTACCTGACAAGCGTTGCAAAGGAATTCGTTACTGGGGAGATGATGTCACTCAGCACAGGGGTTGTTTTTCACACTTAACCACGGAATGTTTGGGTCCTTTTCATGATACTGGAGCGAATGATCAGTTTGCGTGGCGTAGCATATGGATGCTGGTGTTTCAGCGGGTTTTCTACTTACACGCATCTATTATTTTGTACACGAGAAGAATTTTTATACACCAAAGTATATCGAATTACCTCATTAAAACAGTTTATTACACCTTCGGCTTCCATTCTGGGTAATTTTTCCAAATCGAGCTGTGTTATTTGCAAAACACGAGCAATTAATTGGCACAAAGTGTTGGCTCTCGCAACCCTCTCGCCGTCGACACTTCCATAGCTTCGGCTCACCCTGGTACATAAACAATCCTCTCGCGGGACCCCATCTTTCCGTATGGTTGGGATTTTGGGTTTGTTTTTTTTCCCGGCGGTTCTCGGGAGGCTCCCTCAGCGCCCTTTCCTTGCCCGTAGGCAGCTCCCAAGGGAGGAGGGACGCGCTGCGACTCGCCCGCTCCCCCGGGAAAGCCGCGCAGCCGCCCGGCTGGTCCTCCGTCGGCGCCGGGAACCGGAGAAGGAGCTGGAAACCAAAGCCTGGGTCTCACCCCGGGTCCTGG